ACACACACATACACACACAAAAATACATACAAATACATTTTATCAATCAGCCACAAGTTAGGCACAGTGTATCTGATCTATACAAAGACCAAGCAATGAAGAAAAAAATTGTGTGTTTGCATTTTCTTGTCTATCTTTCAGGGAGCGTGATGAGTTAGTGGTGGCTCTGCGTGCCGTGCGGGTTAGTCAGCAGGAGGCTCAACAGAGGGAGTGGTCTGCCTGTCTCCAGGTCAAACAGGCTGTGGAGATGGCAGAAGAAGCAAATCTGTACAAAGCTAGGGTCAGAGAAACATATACACACCAGCAAAAAGATTCGTCCTAAGTTCTCCTTTAAAATTGTGTTTCCTCTTCTTACTGTGGCTGGTTACCTCTGGCAAACCTTCTGTATCTGTTTGTATGCATGCAGGTGGAGGTTCAGTGCGAGCAGTTGTCCAGGGAGCTGGCTCGACACAGGGAACAGTTAGAACGAGAGGCACAGGCCCTGCAGGAGAGACTGGCTGAGGCCAGAGAGGAGGGCCGTGCTGAGGCCCGCAAACAGAAAGAGGAGCTGGCACATACAGTAAATCTTATGTATTCACTTTCTGGATGTAAACTATACTTGAATATTAAAGCACAAACTAAAACTCTCCACTCATACTTGATGTATGTGATGTTTTCCAACCACTTGAGGCAAACACTTGAATTATTACTTAATTATTTGGCAAACGTATGATTTTTTTCTAGTACAAATACTTAATATATTTGTTGCACTTCACTGTATGGGATCCATGTATAGTAGCAGTTATAATTCAAGCTCTTGAATGTGCTGTAAACAGTGAACACTGACATTCTTATTTTTCATTGGCCCATTGGAAATTCTCTTCTTGTGTATCAGGTGTCCAGCCTCTCCCAGCGTGTTGCTGAGCTTGAAGGGCAGCTAGACCGAGCTCACAGAGACAAGAGCTCACTGACCAGTCAGCTTGAAGATACTCTTTGCAAACTTACCAGTCAGGAACAAGACAATACCAAGGTACACTGTGTGAGCTGTGCAAGAAAACCTAAAGTCAGCATTTATGTTATGTTTATGTATGTATTATTTTTATCATTGGTGCTTATGTTGATCAGAGCTGAGCAGTTTGAATCAACATGATTCAGGACAACTGGTAAGGAGAGTAGGCCTACTGTATTTCAATGAAAGATTAAAGAGCACTTTTGCTCCTGGACCACCCCCTAAAAAAACGATCGCTCTAGCTTTGAAGGAACAGAGATACAGAACTCTCCTGATGCTCAGACGCAGTACTGTACTGTTTACTTGTAATGCTTTTGTAAATCCACTGGATGGCAGCAAAGGTTTGTCTATTTCAGTATTTATTTTCCGTTGTTGGAAAGGTAAATTTAACATGAATATATAAATAAAGTTTAAGGCACGGTAAATAACCAAGCTTTATGTGAAGATACTTAGTTCAGGTTTTAACTACTTTGTATTGTAAAATTATAGGTATATTTGAAAGAAAATAATTACAGAGCAGTGACAGAAGTGAGCTCTGCAGGGTTTTACTAAAACTGGAAGACTCGGCTTCAAGTGCTTCATGTCATTCAACCCTGCTGAAGTGTCTGGAAGACACCAAATCCATACCAACACTAATTTCGCTTCAGTAGTTGACCCTGAGCTCTGACTGTGATGGGTGATGGTATCAGAAAAAAAAGTGTTTTTGATTGCTAATATTAATATATTTTATTAGTAGTAGAGCATAATAAAAATGATAGTAGCTCATGGGCTAGTATTTTTAAGAATATAGTATAATATATAAACATAGTAAAGACAAAAAAAGCCATTAACATGTAGATAGTTGAATGTGATTTTATTCATTTATATGGGTGGTTTCAGGAGGAAACTCACATCAGTCTTATAACTGTATTGATTGATCATTGAGCTTTAGCCTAAAAAAAGACTGGCAGGGTCTGATGATTCAAAGCACCTTCGGAGATAAGGATAGGGTAAGATGATAAAAATAAAATCAGAATTGCCCACCGCTGAAAAAATGGACAGGAAGCAGTATTTGTTAATCAAAAGACTGCCTGTTTTTAATTTGTCCTTGTCATCTCTAGGTGTGTGTGGATCTGAGATATCAGCTCAGCCAGGCCCAACTGAAGAGAGAGGAGGCAGAGAGAGAACTCCGAGAGCTCAGCAACAAGACAAGCAGACAGATGGAAAAGGCTGCGCAGGTACGTATGCATTCAACCCATTGATTTATTAGATTAATTAATTAGATTAGTTAAGTAGCTTTTATGTCAGCCAATCAGTTAGTTTACTTGATAATTTATTAAGCAGTCAGTTGTGTTTTTTTATGGAAACTGTACTGAGGTGAGAAACAAAATGCCCCTCAACTATTTATTTCCAAACTTCCAAATTTAACCCAACCAGTTATCCAGACTGTTGAGATGGAAATAAAGAGTAAATATGCAGTGCAATAGAGAGAGAAGTCCTAGTTGCACTTAAATGTCGTAGGACCTGTTATAGAAGAGCAATAGAATTCCTCATAGAAAATGTGAATTGTCCAAAATACAATTTTACCATTTGGAATCAAGCTATTTTAAATTTTAGATGATCAAATGATTTCCTTCTCCCCCTCAACGTTTACATGAGGTTGTAATCATCCTTTAACATTTTGTCGGTCTGAGGGCATAAGGTTGGTTGTTGTGAAAGATTTCCTCACCTCCTCTTCCCTCTCTCTTTCCATCTCTGCGGGACAGGAAGTGGAAAGGCTGAGCTCAGAGCTGGTTGGCTGTCGGCAGCGTCTGGAGGCGGTCCAAAAGGACGGGAGCCAATGGCAGGCCGAAGCCCTGAGCCTAGCAGAACAGCTGGCAAATGCCCAGCGCCAACTGCACCTCACCAGGTAGTACCTAATCCTATTATACATGCCACCACACTCACACACACACACACACACATAGACACAGCACTCCCCTCTGCCCAGCTCCTGCCCAGCTCAGCCCAGTCCAGTCCAGTTCAGACCAGCACACCAACTGTACCGCACCAGGTAACAGCTAATCCTATTATACAAACCACACACACATAAACACACATGCGTGCTGCTGTGCCATGGTCCTGGTACCAACTGGACCTCACCAGGTCACCTCTAATCCTGTTAAGCATGCCACAACATAATGCAACACACACACACACATGCCCCAGAGAGGCCGCTTCAAATAAAAAAATAAATGTATTAAAACTGGGTTGTGGTCCAGCAAGTGTAAATTTAATTTGTGTTGTTTTGTTGTCATAACAGAGTATGATAAAAATAACATTTTGGTTGACCAGCAACTGATGTTAATACTATTCACAATATTAAAAACATTTGTATCATGGGTTTGACTTTACTAAACCACAACCATCATTTTATATGTTATATTACACTGAAGGTCTTTATAAGCTGTTCCTGTACATGCTATTTAATTATATTCATTTATAGTTATTATGAATATGTCCTCCTCCATTTTCTGTATATAACTAGATGACACCGCTTTATAAAAGCTCCTCTCTGCCAAACGTGGAGCCTTAGATGTAATTTTGTGATCTGACTGTGAACCCTTTCATAGCCTACTGAAGGGCAAAGAAATATCCATATTAAATAGTATCAGAAGTGGCTTTCACTGCTAATGACTAGAAATTGAATTGTGAATGCTACATGCTCAGCCCAAGTCAACAGCTGTCAAACTATCTAGTATGCATCTGCGGATAGATAAACTAATAAACTCCTGCATGCACATACCACCCACCACACATGGCAGTAAAATGGTTTAGTCCCAGTGGCTCCTCTAGTACAGGTCAAAGTCATCATGTTTGTCTCAATTATAATATGGCAGTGTCATTTCTCCAGCAGCTGGCTGCAAAATACACACACACCACACACACACACACACACCTCCTTGCGCTCATCCGCTTGAAAACACACGACAGACCCACATGCGGCCAAGTGTGTTAGCGCTGCCAGCTGACAGAACAAACACACTTAAACACAGATCAAGCCAGGAGGTGCAGTGGAGCAGGACACACACACGACACACACACACCCCTGACAGACACATTAAACACAAATACACACGCTACAGCTACACCACAACATAGATACACCAAACTTCCATCCCGCAGCTCCAGCACCACAGGCACCCACCGCCACATCTGTGCCCAAATCCAGACACCCTCGGCTGTGGGCAGCCGGGGGTGAGAGAGTTGCCCCTGGGCGGCTGCATGGGTGGAAGGCCCTGGCAGTGGCTGGTTGTGGACAGGAACTGCAGCCAGAGGAATGAAACAGGAGGGGAAGAGGGAAGAAAAGGAGAGGGAGGAATGCAGAAGGGCAGGAGAGAAAAATAATAATGGAAAGAGGGTGGTGAAGAGAAGATGACAGATGTAAAAGAAAGGAATTGTTTAAAGTATAGAGAATGTACAGCCTAGAGCTCAGAGCTGCAGGAAGAAAAGATAATGGTAGGCATGGGTGTGATAGATGATAAAAGAATTAAGAGGAGGAAGTGATACAGGGACCAGGGGAAAAAAAACAGGCAAAAATAGATAGAAAAGAGAAGATAAAGGATGGAGGTAAGAGGGGGGAGCCGGTAGCGCCCGTCGTGACAACGGGTGCAGGGGCACTGGCCAGGTGGCACTTGAGGCCAGGCTGTCCAGTGACCATCAAGCCGTACTTTTCTGCGGCGAGAGTGTGTGTGTGTGTGTGTGTGGGTGTGCGCGCAGGGACAGAAGAAAGGCTCAGGCGCAATTTTGGCTCTGCTGGAGCTGTTTGCTGGGTGGCAGCTGGCCTGGTGGCACAGAGCGGCAGTATGTTCTGTGTGTGTGTGTTCTCTGTGTGGTGTGTGTGTGTATATTATAATATA